TTTTATTATCATTGAACACTATTATTTCTTAATGGATTGACTTTCAAATTTTTTTTCCAAAATGTTTCGTGCTTTTCTAGAATTATAAAAAAAAATATTCACACTTATATTCAATAGGGAAAATACTGTCACTTTTGATTTACAAATACAACCTATATTTTAAATGCCATAAAATGATAGGGCTATTTTTTTTATGAATTTTAACGTTATAATTATTAGTTTCCATTTAACCATTTACGAGTTATAACTGCTCAAAGTAAGATGTTTTTCAGATTTTAATAAACTTCTTGTTTCTGAAGACCTGCAATTACGGGCAATTGTAAATTCCACCGATTAATAGGTAGTTGATTTTCAGGTTGAATTTAAAACATGTAAGTTCCAGTGTTTTTTTTACCTGAAAAAAAAATGTAATTTTTACACAAAACTATAGTTTTTGATAAAATCTAACTTTATTTTTTTTTTTTGTAATTCAAAAATAAATAGTTATTGAGACTTAGCGTTTTCTCAAAATATTCATAGTAACAATTACTTGATTTAATATAATTTTCAAAATATTTTGACATTTTTAATGCTATTTATAGACATTTGAAGTTTTGAAAATTAAAGGACTAAAATTTTTTAATATGTTAACATGAGGTTTCTCGTAAGGTTATTTTAGAGGATTTAAAAAATATCTTTATTCTTACATATCCTTTTGAAAATCTGAAATTCTGAAATTTATGATATTACACACAAATACACAATACGTTTAAGTATTATTAGATTAATTCATTTAAAATTCTAAACAGAATGATGGCCATTAATTTTATCATATTGTATTATTGTTTTTTATTTTTATTTTTATTTTTTTTTTTTTGGAAAAATATCTACACTATAAGTTTTTAATAAAATGCTTCAATTTTCATAAAATAATAGTGGTTTTGAACATTATTTTGAATTTAGTCAGTACTTTTACGAAATCTAACTTAAAAGTTCCCAGAAATAATTTTTATAATTGGAAAATTAATAAAAAATTCAGGGAAAACAGCAATCTTCTAGTAAATCAATTTGTTAACAAATTCATTTATGTAATAACGAGAAAAATTTGAAATATAGCAAAAACAAATGCAAGTAAAAATGTGAGTGGAATAATATACTTCTACACTTATATTATAAATAATGAAAAATATAATTACTCCTTAGATACCTTGTCAGATACTAATATTGAATTCAAGTTATTACCTTCCCCTGATCTTTGGAGTGTTTTCAAAAATATGATCAAGTACACCGTTATGTAAATTTAATATATAATCTATAATAATAATATGCAGCATAATAATATAATCATACATTTATGCACATTACCAGATTTGCAACAGTTAATATGTGATACTTGACACTTGTTAGGAAAATTAGGAAAAAATAAGATAACACAATGAAAAGACAACTTTCTGAATACTTGAGTTCAAATAAAAAACACTACTGGTTTAACTTATTGAAAAAGAAGGTCACAGAATGCTGTGTCGAGTACTCTTGTTCAGGTGGTGGGTACACATGCACTGGCAAAAAAAACAATGTGGTCAATCCAGCCAGGGTCTGACGGCTACATCAAGGGTCTCTGCATTCCTACAAAACTAGCCTTATCTTTTAGTTTCTATTTTTATATGATACTGACTTATCAACTATTGATATTCTTTTTTAAATTTATTAATTATAAAAAAAAAATTTTTTTTTTAAACCTATTACTCAAAGGTTTTATATTTTTTTTACATTATTTTTTTTTTTTACACTAGTACTTAGACAATGAATAATTAACTTCTATTAACTTAAACTAGATAGGTTATATATTTTTTACATTATTTATTTTCTTACACTAGTGCTTAAAAATTTGATATTTAACCTATATTAACTTAAAGTAAGTGAGTTATATATTTTTTACATTATTTTTTTTCTTACACTAGTTAAAAGACATTTGATGATTAACTTGTATTAACTTAAATTAGGTGAGTTATTTATTTTTTACATTATTTTTTTTTTTTGCAATTTTGCAATTTTGCATAAACATTTTATGATTGACTTATACTAACTTTAATTAGATTATATATTTTTTACATTATTTTTTTTTTTTACACTAGTGCTTAAACATTTTATATTTAACCTATATTAACTTAAAGTAGGCGAGTTATATATTTTTTACATTATTTCTTTTTTCTTACACTAGTGCTTAGACATTTGATATTTAACTTATATTAACTTAAATTAAGTTATATATTTTTTTACGTTATTATTATTTTTTTTTTTTACACTTGTAATTAGACATTTAATTTTTAATTTATAATTAATTTAAAAGGTTTTTTTTAGATATTATTCAATGAAATGTTTGCATATTATTACATTTGTTTATCTCAAAAACGATTAACCATAGATACTAGAAATTTTTAACTTAATGTTTAAATTATCGTTTTTTATTTGTGATAAAATTTTCGATTTTTAGTTTGTTTTTATTAATAAACATCAATTAAATTATTTTTTTTTAATAGAAATACTAAAAAATTTGGTTCAAAATAATAAATATTTCATATTTAAACAATAAAATATAAAAATACAGAATGTTTCACTGTGAACTGACAATTACAATAACTTTCGTGCTATTAAACATTTTCAACTTCTTTTTTTTTTTTAATTGACAATTGCCATTTTTGCTACAGTTAAAATATTTAAAAAAAATTTTTACCTTTTTTTATGCAAAATTAAAAAATTAAAAATTTTCTAATTGATATTTAAAAAGAATCAAGATAGCCATTTTATAAATCCGATTTTTAAAAAAATGTTGGTGTCGAATACTTTTATGAAGGTCGAATCAATAATTTTTGAAACTCCCTTAAATTCTAATTTAATTATTGTTCAACAGTGTTACGATTATCGACTATTGATTATCCAGAAAATCTATTTGAAATAACATAAAATTATGCAAACTTCAAAAAATCGTAAAAAATAAAAGGCTGAACATTTTTCAATTTTTTTTTTTTACTATGTTTTAAAAATTATATCAATAAAATGGCTATTTAAATTTTTTAAATTTCAAATAAAAAATTTTTTAATTTCTTAATTTTACATACAAAATTCAAGTTTAAAATCAAAAAATTAATTTAAATGTAACCCATATGATAATTGATAATTTAAAAAAAATGATAAGTTGAAAATGTTGAATAACACAAAATTATTGCAATTGATAGTTCATCGTGAAACACTGTATATTAAGTCAATTATTTTTTTATAGACGTTTTTAAGTTTCAATTTAGAGAAATTTACTTGTTATGCAATAAATAACCATATGATAATTATTTTGTTGTAGTTTAAAAAAAATCGTGGGTTCCTAAACTTTTAAGCGTTTTTTTGTAGAGTAAGGAACTAAAACACCCGATTTTCAAAGATAAACAATTAAGTAAATAAAAAAAAAAACGAAAAAAATTAATTATTATCTATTATAATGAAGTAAATAACTTACGATTTATTTTTTTCAAATCATATCCTTAAGATGATGACTATCTCTTCTTGAGCCTACTTAGTATATTTCCAGTATAGGTACGGTGTATCACTTTTAAAGCCTAAAGGTGGTACATTTTCATTTGGATAAATGGTTTTTTTTCGTACAGGTTTCTTCCAGGAACACATTTTTTCGAAGTTAGTAATCCATACTTTAACAGCCTTAGCAAATGGTACCGAATCATAATTCATAGCGTTAAAGATTAAACTGATTGAAGGGAAGACGAAATGAACGCAGTGCGGCTACGTAATTGTCATAATTTTTGTAAAACAATTTTATCGGACGAACACATTGTTCATCACTTCACTGTTCCGTGAATACTAAATAGTAAATAGTAAGTGGCAGTTGTGGCACGGATTGTTTTAGAATTAATAGTATTTAGCAGTTATTACTGGGAAAATCTATTTTTAAAATCGGCCGTTCACCTGTGCACGTATTGCACCCTGTGTTATTAATTATTATAAATTTTTATTGAAAGCAATAACATTTTTTATTTATTTTTACTTTATTTGTACTACCTACTACTATGAATCTAAAATAATATATTACTCAATTTCTCCTATACAAGATAATTTGTCGAGTATGTTCACGTTTTTTTTCTTTAACAATGTAGTTATTTAAACTGTTTTTACTTTGGATTTTCAAATATATTTAAAAACCATATTTTCAAAAAAATAAATAAAAATAAATTCTTCTTAAGGCATTTTTTATTATCTTAGGAGATGCAATTTTCTATTTTTAAATAAGATAGGTACCTACCAATATCCTTTTTATACAATCAATTATTAGCGAATAATTTTTTTTTTTAATGTTGACGTTATTATTCAAGCGATTAGTTTTCGAGTTATATAACTTTGTGTAATCTTAAGCTGTTCTGTTTTTTTGAATTCTAGATATTGATCTATTTTATGTTTTAGAAAACATGAAAGTTTTTATATTTCAAGCATTTTAAGTTAAAATGATAAAATATTTGATCAGACATCCACTGCAATAGTAATACCTAACCATCATCAAGTTCCCACTTCATTATAAACTGTGTGTGGTTATACGCGTTAATTTCACTTTATTTTACACGTAGTTCGTACACGCAGATTATACCGTCTACGGGCTTTGGTAGTATTCCGAATAACAATATATCAAATACTTTTTTGAATATATTTTCCCAGAAGTATTTAATATTATATACCGAATACTTTTGAAAAACTTTGACACTTTTGATGTCCTACCAATAACTATTAACTACTGTCTTAACTCTTAACAGTTAACTCTAAATGTATGTAGTATACTATACGTCTATACATAATACACTAGCTATTGACTTCTGCACAGGTTTCGATTTATATTTATGATACTCAACGTATTGTTTTGGCGGCAAAACGACGACCAAGGAGAATAGACATACGCCGATCGAAATCAACGTTTTTTTTTTTACGAAAAATTATTGCCGCACAATTGCTGATAATATTCGGGAAAGATGATTTTCGGAACAGCCATCCATAATATTATCCGACATTCCGTATTCCGCCAGCACAACGGTATCCGAAAAGTCAGTCCGTTTAATACTCTGATATCGGTTCGTCGCTCGATAATCAAAGAATACAGCAAAATGACTTACCAGATCGAAGAGAGAGGTTCGCCCAACACAATTGACTACAAATTATACATTAGTAAGTCAACTATTAAATTACGTAACTACGTAAGATTAAATGTACATATTCAGAACGACCTTCGGTATTTTGAGTGTATTATTATTTTATGACTTATTAGTAGTTTACCGCATTTGTGCGTTTTCATTCTTGATCTTTAAAAATTCAAGGTCATTTTTTCTGACCTTTGTTGCTGTTATTATTTATTTATAAATGATCACCACCTGCAATTAAACTTTATACACATAATATAAATTATCTCGTGTGCATATATTATATTAAATATAATTTATTATTAATAATTAGTTTAAGATTCAATTTTGTAGGATTAGAAAATAAACTAGTTGGGTATCTTAAAATAGGTACCTACTACATAAACCATTTAAAACAGTTTAAATTCCTTTATATTTATTAAAAAAATTAATATTTATAAATTATTAAAAACCAAAAAAGTAATTGGAAGCACTGCACACTACCTATAACTTCCCTAATACACTAACGGCTATAAACTGTTATAAAGAATAGACTGTTTAATGATTGTCAAACCAATTTTTAAGTTCTGACAGTTGAAAAAAATATATATAAGGATATTTTTAATTTATTTTTCAAAAAATTATTATGACAAATATACATCAAAAATACTTGAGTTTAAAATTAATTGTAAAATTTATAAAAAATGTCAAATCATAAAACTATATCATAATATAAATGTATTAGGTAAAGGTTAATTTTTTTTTTATTTACATCAAGTTTTCCTATCATATTGGGGATGTATTGAAAGTCTGTAACTCTATAAGTTTAATTTTTATTGCAGAAAATGAAAATGGTATAGTTTCACCATTCCATGATATTCCATTGCTAGCTGATAACACGGGCAAAGTTTTCAATATGGTGGTGGAAATACCTAGATGGACAAATGCAAAAATGGAGGTTAAATTTCCTATTAATCAAACTAAAAAATGTTTTATAAAATATAAGTTTTTTAGATCAACACAAAGTCTTGTCTTAACCCAATAATTCAAGATACTAAAAAAGGCAAATTACGTTTTGTACCAAATGTGTTCCCACACAAAGGTTACATATGGAATTATGGTGCATTGCCTCAAACTTGGGAAAATCCTGAATTACTGGATGAGCATACAGGGTGTAAAGGGGATAATGATCCTTTAGATGTACTTGAAATTGGGTACAAAGTATGCTAAAAATTTTATCCTTAAACATTTCTAAATCATATTGCTTAGCATGTTTATTTATTTTTAAGGTAGCAAAACGAGGAGAAGTACTGAAAGTAAAGGTTTTAGGAACTGTTGCATTGATTGATGAAGGCAAGTATTATACAATGCATTTAAACACATATATTAATATAATACTTATTTTTTTAAACTATATCAACTATAAATATTATAATCAAGAATTTATTGTATATTTTTAAAAATAACAATATTAATATAATCTTTGCTATACATGAATATGCAATAATTGTACTCAACTTTATTATTTATAACCAAACAAAATATTTTACAGTTCACAAACATAAAAATTAGATGTATTAATGTATTTAATTGCTTTAATATTTTATTAGTATTGCTTATGAATTTCTATGAATCTAAAACTTAAGAATATTTTATATATTAATAAATATAATTAACTTTCAGGTGAAACAGATTGGAAGATACTAGTTATTAATGTAGAAGATCCAATTGCTCCTGAGGTGAACGGTAATTATACTTAATATATATAAATCAGTATAATACCTTATCCTAGGTATTAGGTATTTTTAGTATACATATTATTAGCATTTGTTATTTTTTGTTTATATTTTGAGAATAATAATATACTGAGAGTAAAAATTTATCAAAAATATTTTATATTATTGAAATACTATGCATGCCCAAGTAATTATTGACTATGTATAAACTATATTTGTCTGTCCTCAATATAAATAGTAATGGTCTGTAATTAGAATAATATTAGAAAAATTTTTTTTTTTTTGTAGTGCTTAAATTAAATTACACGTGTTTATAATTGGTCCATAGTCTTACTTATAATGCATACTATGATAGTTTATGACTGCATGAAAGTTAGAACTTTTAATCTAGAACTGTTAAAATTAAAACCTCGTTTTTTTTATAAAATCATCATTGCTCACTACATACTAAATTTAAAAATACCATATAATTATTATTACTATTGATATCTGTTGTAAACAAATACTAAATACCAATATAAAAGTTTTAAAATTACCACTCCATTGCTTTTTTCTATTATTAATTGTTTTTATGATCTAATTCTAGTTATGTTTATAATATTAATATCTAGATATAAAAGACATTGAAAAACATTTTCCTGGTCTATTAAAAGCCACTGTTGAATGGCTAAAAATTTACAAAATTCCTGATGGCAAACCGGAAAACAAATTTGCATTTAATGGTGAACCCAAAGATGCTGAATTTGCTTTAAAAATAGTCAGTGATACTCACGAATATTGGAAAACATTATTACAAAAAGAAAACACTGATGGCTTGTCATGGTAAAGAAATGTTTATATTAACAATTTTTTAATGGTTTCTTCTAGTTTAACTATTGTTGAATAATGATTGATTTTAGTGTGAACACGACATTGAATAATGCTTCTACTATTGACAGTGAGAAGGCTCAAGCAATATTATCAGAGAGTTTGCCACTATCTGAGCCTTGCCCATTATTACCTGAAGGTAAATTGAGATTAATTAATTTTTAATAATAATAGAAGTCAAGCTCATATTATTCTTGACAATTCACTTAAGTTTTTATTTTTAAAAAAAAGTAATGACATTGGGTTTAAATCATGTATATAAATATGTATTATTAATTAAATGATACTGAAGTTAAACTAAATGACACGTAGAAACATTTATGAAGTTGTGTTTGGCATTGTTAAATTTTAAAATAGATTATACACTTAACTGTAAAAGTATTAAATATTCCCACACTTCTGAGACTTAATTTTTTATGAAGACGGATTAAATGCCAATTAATTCCTCTTTGACACTATTTTATCTTACAAATGTGAAAATTGAGCTTTGCTTATTAAAACAAATATAATATATTGAATTAAATAATGAAAATTCATGAATTAGTTAATATAATTTGTAGTCCCTTATACATTAAAACAATTAAATTAATACTGATTTATGTCTCATTGGTTTTTACAGTTGATATTGTTTTGTTCTGCATTAAATCCAATGGCATTACTTTTAAATTGTAGTTTTGCAGCTCAATGTCATTGAACTTGGTTTTATATTCATGTTACTATTTCTGTTGCAGTTGATAAATGGCATTTTGTAAAATTATAAAATGATTACTTTTCATAAGATCAGCAGTTATTTATTTGGTGAAATTAGAAAGTGGTATCAAAATAAATAAATTTTTTGGAAAATATTAAGATTTTTTGTATTTACTTATATGAAACTCGTATTCATTCCTAATTATTGTTACAACATTCAGATTGCCATAAAATAAAGTATATTTATGTATTTTTTTTTTCTTCTGTAAATATTGTAACTCACGATAAACTTGATGTTTCAAAATATGTATTTCAATAAATCGTAAAGGTGTTTTGTTCAAATATTTGTTTTTTAATATTTTACTTGAGAATAAATTTTAGTTACCATATTCTATTATAACATACAAAATAGCTTTTAATAGGAGTATCTCAAAATATTGTTATTATACTTTATTTGAGTAAAGAAGAAAACTGGGCAACTTGTTTATGGAAAAGTGGCTTGACCACATGACAGGCATATAGATGTTTGACAAACTGATGTTGTCCAACATAATAAAAACATTATATGAATTGAATGCACTACTACTATCTTAAGTTTAATAAGAATCAATTTTAAGTAGGCGTTTTCATAAATTTTATTAACTTAGTAACTTCAACTCATGAGGTTATGAAATGTATAATTTGGCAAAATTGAAACGCTAGTAGAATGTTAAGTAATTAATATTATAAAAATTAAAGCTTTAAAGTTTTCACATTATCACAAAATATTTATCTATGAAAAAAAATTCTAAATTAATTAAATTAGGCGTAATCATTGTAAGCTTATCTTGTTTTCTGTACCTTACTTTAATCCATTTATCATTGTTTTCTTTTATATTTAATAGTTTCTACAGTCAATAGATTTTTTTCAATTTACATTGCATTGTTCAATTGTTGAATGTTTTGCTATTGTTAGAATAATAAATTTCATTATCTTGATTCTAGTGACCTTGAACTTTGAACTAATAATTTATTATCGTTTACAATGTTACTATTTTGAAGGTTGTGCGAGTAAGAAATAACACTTGAGAAGTACACAACGTATAACTATATAAGTCATAATAATGTGTAAACACTAAACAGTAATATAAAATATACTAATGATAAACATTTATAATTTTATTAAATATATATATTTTTTTAATTTGATGGTATGTCTTATAAAGTTATTTGAAATGTGTTGCATTGTTAATAAAAATTGTAAATTTCATGAGTATACAAATTGATTTAATGCAAGTCCAAAACTGTGAAACTTAAAAATAAACTATAATCAGTATAATTATTAATTATTATAATATACTTTTACATACATACATACATAAATACATACATGCACTATTAATTATTTATTATGATAATAGAAAGTATAAATACTTGAATAACATTTTTAACAGCAATAAATTGCCCATTTAAAATTAAAAAGAATTAAACACAAGACAAAATATTATCACGTATAGAAATTAATCAAATAATGTCTAGCATTTTCTTCTGCCCAACAGACGATGTTGAACAGAATAACGTAATGGTAACCGATATAATAACAGTAATAGTAATATTAGAAACTAAGCAAACATAATTTTTACTAAGGTGATACTTGGTACTGGTTCAACTACACGTTATCGATGAAACCATTTTCAGTGAACATACATTGAAAGACAAAAATAATGTGTGCAAACAATAGCTGACGACGATAGCGAGCAGACTTTAAAAATTTAGATTTTAGTTGCCACCAATAGCATAATAATTATAATTAATTAACTTTTATACTTTTCATTAATGACTAGTATTTATTATTCTCAATGGGTCAATGGCAAACTACTAAAAATGTAAAATAGTTGATGGATATGGTATGCTTGCTTCATCAATTAGATATTGAAACATTCACTGTGAATATATAATTTAATATCCGTGTGTACTATCGATCGGACACATTGGATACAAGTAAAAAATCTTATATAAATAATATTTACGAAGATGATGAATAAACAATATCATTTCTTTCAAATATTTCAAAACTGTTACATCAAACTTCAAGTCCCACAGTTATGTTAGAGATTGTATAACATAATATAATTATTGTATAAAAAGTCGATTTAAGCAAAGTAGAAGAACGGAGAACGTAACATTAATCTACTGCAGCACATTACATATACAAGTAGAGTTGTTCAAGTATATCACTGTCGACCTTGGATATAAGAACACCTTGGAATTGCTGTTCTCCGATTTGGTTTTGTAAAGCCAACAACTGTGAAGCAATTGAAAAAATTATTAGTAAATAGAACAATAATTAAATGAAAAGTGTAAATTAGTGTTAGGGGTCTTGGCAAGTCCTTTACAACTGCTAAAATATCGCAGTATACTTATATAAACAACTATACCTCAGATAATGTTTACTACTTACTTGAGATTGCAGGTATTTATGGAATGGAATGCAGTGGACAGGGTCTTTGAGCGATAGGCATCTTTGACGTTCATTGTGTTCGGTTTCATATTGATATTCGCACTCAGAATTTGCTCGTGAGCTTACATTGGAGCAATCGTCAGTCATTAACATGGAACTATTTAAACAAATAAACAAAGCTAATAAAATAAATGGATGCATAAGTAATCTAATATTAATCATGTTTTATAACGTCAAGCCTTATTTATCATATTTCTGTACATTATAAATTACAAAATGAATAATTTACTAACTCTGCATAAAGTCCATCATCAGTCTTCCTCATAATGTCATTTAAAGTTTCTACACACACAGTTATGATTTCTTTAAATAATTCTAAAATTGGTCTGAAACAAAATAAACAATACATTAACAATATTAAAAACAATATACTCAAATAAACAAATAACTCACTTTTTTTGACAAGTTAAAAGTGATGCTAAAGCAAGACCTAATAATTTTCTTCTATCATTTTGTACAATTTGATTCATTCGTTCTAACCAAACTTCAATTATTCTACTGAGCACATTATCAAAATTCATTAAATTTCCATTTTCGGTCATACATAAATGTTCTACAACCTATGAACAATTAATAATTTAAAATACATTTCAGACAAAATTAAAACTAAGAATTCATTACTTTAATAAAAATACTTGAATCATTTAATATAACTCTAGCAATCAAAGATAACCGGCAACTATTTACAGCTAAACCTATTTCACCAGAACATAAACACCTGAAAATCAAGTACATTTATAAACTAAAATGGTTCTCATTTTAATGAATGTATTAATATTATTTTTATTTTCAGTACATCTTTATAATTATTTAATTATTCTTACTTTAAGTTTTGTCCTAAAATTGCCATCATTAACTCAATAGTTTGTGGTAAATTTACTTTTATAATTGTTTCATATAATGATAATATACAAACGATACCTTCATCTTTTAAATCATTCATTAAAGATGTAGTTAAGCTAAATAATTGAGTACCATATTCCTACAACAACAAAAAAAAAAAATTAATATTATTTATAAACTATAATAATTTATAATTATTGATAATAAACAATAATGAAAAAGATAATAGAATATTCAGGAACAAAAAACCTTACATTTTTTTAAATTACTATATTTAAAGTATTAGCTATTTATTGTTTAATATTATTGTATTTATATATTTATAAGCATTATTCTTGGATTACAAAAATGTATACTTGCCGATATGACCCTATCTGGTGCAATTAGAACATAAGCTTCAAGTATCATAAGACCAGTTTTTAGATGTTCAGTTGAATAATCTGTCATTTAAAAAAATCCAAAAATAATAAAATAAATTGAAATAAAAAAATATCTAAATTCATGCTTACCTAGTAATGGAAGGAGATAATTAATTAAACTTAGCATTTCATCATTGTATGTTGCACATGATTCAATGTAAGATAACAACAATTCAAGACCATCTTCTTGTAAATAAATATATGCTTTTTCTTTAATGTCTACACTATATCGAATAATAGGAACAAGGAATGGGGTTAACTCAGCACTTTTTGTTCGGATAGCCTAAAATTGTAAAATACAAAATATTTATAACCAACTTTAATATATAAAAATACTCTTATGAAGAAAAAAACAATTAACATTGGTGCATAACACTAGATTGATGAAAAGGAAAACTTTTGCAAGGAAAATTTAACTAAACTACTAACTTCACCAATTTTCATATTTTTATTTATTTGCAAGATAGAGTAAATAATTTAGTTATATAGTAAACCAATATAAAATTACTTACTCTAACAATTTGTGTTAATGTGGAAATAATTGCACAACGTAGCATGTGATGATCATCTGAATCTGTCCATAATTTTGGCAAGTACTGAAGTAAAGAATCAAAATAAGGTTCTACCATTGGACCTAATCGTTCCACCATAAATGACATGACATGTAGCACATTTAACTAAAACATTAGCATAATATAAAATGAATAATGTGTTTAAAAAGTATTTTAAACTTCCATACTATAATATAGATATGTTAATACCTTTGTGTCACATTCACGGACACTAACTAAAAGCTTATACAACGAGAATGCCATTGGTTCCAAATATTCAATAAAATGCTCAGAACTAAAATCAAAATCATCGATTGCACAACGTAAAGTGGACGTAGCAGCTAAACGAACGGCCATATCTTGCTCAGGATTTAAAAGTCCAATAAGAATATTGTATAGTTCAGGTCTATATTCAGGATTTAGTCTAACTGTAAGCCATTGACCAATCAACCAAGCCACGCGCCTCTTCAATACACGTGAATGACCATGTGTTTCCATTAACTCTTGGCGTAATGTCGTATTGAACCAATCATCAAAATTTATCTAATAAATACAATCAAACAAAATTAAAAAACAAGTTAAATTTCTTTCGGATAGCTTCAATTAAATATATTTAAGAATAATTAATCCTAAGCTGTGTATACAAAAGAACATGCATTAGCTCACGTCAACGATACTACTAAACATTTAATGAATAGGTTTAAATAAATAAGATAAACTGAATGGTGAGTTGATTTATATCACTTCTAGGTATTCAGAGTTAAGTGAAAATGCTTACTATGATTTTATGAAGAAACAAATGCCCATGTATTAGTTATTTTTAAACAAAATATACTAATTTTTTCAATAAAAGTTAACTTTAACTTAATATCATTCTATAGCTGAAATGAGAAAAATAACTAGACTTGGGCCAAATATTGTAAGATGCACAATATACACCATAAATTATGTATACATGAAAAACAAAATCCATCTGAATACTCAATCATTTTCAGTATAAACCTTACACAAACAAATATGTTCTTGAGTGTACACACATTTAGATTAACACTTTTCTTTAAATTATTTTAAACTAGCTTTAACATCATTATTACATACTAATATAAAACTTAGAAATAATATACTAATTCATAGTTTTGATTGGTTTTATAGTTGATAACAGTTGGTCAACCTAAGGTAAGTCTTTTCTACTATTTTAGCTTCCCAAACTGGCTAGTGGTGAACCTGTACCTTTTGAAACAATAGAGTTATTTAATTTTATACTTTAGGGACGGTTTATGGTAGCAAAATGTATCTAGTTGATACTTTGGAGAACCAACCAAAAAATTCTCAGAAATTTTTGTAAATTTACAAAGCATTATGTTAAAATTTTAACTAATTTTGTCAAAATTACAAAAATGTGTAAATTATTTTGGAGTTAAAATTCCATGCCTAAGATTTGAAAATAAATTTCTTTATAAGTTTTTAAGGTAAAGTAGTATTGACATAAAAATTAATATCAAAATAATGTAATAAATTACATTTATTATTTTTATAGTTAAATATAAATGATATGATAAATGCAATGTTTTTAGAAAAAATTGAATCTAATTACTGTTATATTAATAATAGAATTAATTACTTTAATAACAACACCAAAAAACATATCATGAAACTAATTGGATGATATAAGAATCTGACAAACTGTCTCCACTCAAAATTGTTTTTTATTTACAATGATATATTATTGAATTTAATAAATTACAATGATTTTGCATATTTAAACTTTAAGCACAAGAATGCATTTGTTTAGAACATGTAATGAAAGCAGTATTAAAAACTAAATGTCACATCATACTACACTTTTAATTTTGATTTTGTCTTTGACAAAAAAAATAGCTTAAAAATGCTATGCAGTTATTTAAAAATAATCATTTAGCTAACATTAAAAGAAACTTAATTTAAAATTATTATGAGCTTCTCTTTCTTTATAGTTCAGAAAATATTAGAAAAATCATTGTGTATATTAATATACTTGTATTGTATAAAAAAATCATAATCTTATGAACTTATTTTAACAATTCCAAAATCGAATATATACTGACATGTATTTTTGATACTGTTATACTTACAATATCAAACATCTCAAATGCAGTAAGTCCAAATGCATTATAAATGGCATCTTTTTTTAAAACTGCTTCTAAATTATTAGGGTCAACAAACTCTCTATTTGACTCAATGGTTGCTGCAAGTCTTGGGGTCAACAGTTCTCTAAATTCATGGAATAATGACATAAATAGTGATTCTGTACATGCCTAAAAAAATTTATTTGTATTAATTATATTTATTTAATTGCTATAGAAAATTCTAAATAGCATTTACTTTTAAATTATACTTCCAATATTCTCCTACTTCATCAGTAGCTATAATAATAAATAAGTAATTAGAGTTTATGATACACTCCATAAATTATTTTAACTAATAATTATAAATTATAAATAACCATTTACCAAACATTTCAGGATCACTATCCCATATTTCTAATTCAGCTGGTGTAAGTAAAAAATATTTATATATTAATTGTTGACACATTATCATTAATCGATCAGATTTAAATACAGAAGCTTTATGTTGAACTGCTAAAGCTGATATTCTTTTTGCATTTTCTAAAATAATATTAATATTAATATTATATTTTATACTGTATACCATAATTAATACCACAACATTAAATTTAGTTTTAAAAAAATTAATAAATTAGATAATATTAAAACATAATTAGTATACATTATTTACATTAGGCTTTTTTAAAGGTTGATCATAGCATTCGAGTAATCTATTTGTAAATTATAAAAGTATTTAATATTTGGAAAATAAAATAGCTCACCGTCCATTTGACAAATAGGCCCATTAGTACGTGGCAATTTATACTGAGGACAAATTAATATTAATTTAGTTAAGTTAAACAGTTGAATTAAGAATCTTTCAAAGACGACAGTATTTCCATCAGCAGTAAAACCATAGAAATAAGCCAGTTCAACAGTTGGTTGAATAAAATCTAGATATTCAGCTGGATGATCTTCTAAGATTGCCATTAACATTTTAAACATTCGGCATACAAATTTTTCGACTAAATCAGGATAGTAAGCACCTAAACATAAAGTTATTTATAATTTCAGTTGAATTGAATGTCAAAATTGCATTAACTTACGGCAAGCAATAATAGGCCGAACTTTATTGAAAATAGCCAAAATGAATTGTTTAACATCATTTGGGTAAGGAGATTTAAAACCATATAACACAAAATTAGATAAAATTTTTTGAGTATAAAATGCATCTTCCAAAAGTTTAGCTACTGAAGGTGATATATTTCCTTGTTCCATCTGTATGAAAAAGAAATATGTTATTATACTAAATTTGCAATAAATTATTTAATTAATATATATTTTAGCATTTACCTCTTTAATGAAAGCATTTGTTCTTTGTTCCCAATGACTATAAAAATTTGGGAAGAGTTGGCTGGAAGCATTTTGGAAAAGTCTTATACTATCATACAATCGTTTGCCTGCTAATGATTTGACCACATGATGCATAGATAATAATGCACGATTTTGTGGATCGTATTTAATACGCTCTATTAGTTCTGGCATAAGATCTTCCCAATCATATGGCCAATCCAATCTAAAATTTAATAAGACAAAATTAAACAATTAATTAACATATAAAGAATGGAAAATCAAACAAGTTATAAATAAATTTACAAAAACAAAAAATATATTATGTATTATACAACTTATAAGAAGTTATTTGGTTTAGCATAAGCGCTGTCAGGAATTTTGTCAGGAAAATGCATCCTGCATAGCATATGCTGTTCTAAATAATGCTTAAATTATTTAAGTTAAATACATAGATATATTTTTGAATTGAAGAATTTGCAAAAGACCCTAGGCATTTATATTTATTGTTTAAAAAAAATTTTTTAATAGATAATAAGTACAATTATATAAAATAAAATATTTTTAATATCATTCAATTTAAAATTTTTTTTTTTGAAAAGCCAGGAAGGTGAAAGTGCACCTCCTTACAGTTCCTATGCGGTCAAGTAAAAATTCTTAGGGATTAACTTGCTTATTAAAATCCAAATATATTTTAATATTGATGTAGATAAATTGATTAATAGTTTAATATTATAAACTTTAATAATCATTAAAAAAAGCAATAGATATAAAATATCTAAAACTATAATGGTATAAGTAGAATAAGTGTTGAAAAAAATGTTTTCACAATAACTTTTTTATCTATTAAAATAATAATTTTTATACACATAAAATGATAAACATTTTACATTATTAGATCTTTAAAACTATTTTCATCAAAAACACAAACTTAATTAATCCTATAATGGTCAAGGATTTGTTTAAGCCATGATTTGTAGGATTGTTGCTTGGACTTTCTTCATATAATTTGATGTTTTTTAAATTTTAAAAACTATTGAGAAATAGAAATAATTAGTTTTTGTAAAGTTCAATATAAATAAATAAAAAACTAAATCCTACAAGTGAGCTATTTTAAATGATATTTAATACACCAAAAGATATTTTTTAAAACAATAAAAAAATCATATACCTCTAAAATACTAAGATATAGTAACTTTAAATAATTCTTAATTTATAAGCAAAATATATTCTCTTTCTTGGATGAATGTATTACACACTCTTAATTTTATAACTAAAGTATTCAAGAAAAAAAATAATTACCTTGCAACTCTGCCAATGATTACACTAACTTGAGTTGCAAGTCGTGGAACAGGTTCTGATAAATTTGTTAATAACATTTTTCTTAGAGTAACTTTTTCTTCTTCGGAAATACCACTATAAAAGATCATGATTTAATTAATTTATAAACCTAATACTGTATAATAGGTACTTACTGTTCAATGTTTTTTCTCCAATATTTTTCTACGCCTTGTTTAAAGCATAAAATTGACATCCAGCGAACATTTAAATCCAACGATTGATTTGAAAATATTCTCTAAAAATCAACAAGATGTATGTTTATGGTAGGTACTAGGTAATTACTTAGGTATCTAATGAAATACAATTTATATTAGCCATAGAAAAAACATTATCTTACAAATAACACTGAATAAAATCCTGGTTCTACTTCCCATTCTTTAAGTTTTTGCTCTGCGGGTTTCAACATATCAGGATGTTGACTACTAGCCTGCAAGAGTGTTTCGTAAACTAACTGTTCAATTTCCATTTTGATTATGTAGAGTTAACAATTATTCTAAAAATAAAAATAAATTAATGGTTTGCAAAGTGGCAATTTATATCATATATATCAACAAGCATAAAAAAAAAACATTGTTTTTTTTAAAAAATATTACCTATTATGATGACTAAAATAATACTAAATACAAAGTTACAATTCAAACAAACATACTTAAAAATATCTCAAAAGTTTCTAACTATTTTGTTTAAGCCTATTAAATTTTGATCATTTGAAATTTTTCTTGATTTGACAAAAAAAGTATAATTGTGTTGAGTCATTCTTAACACAAGCCCTTTATGTATGAATCTAATCATATGATGATACTATCAATTATAACAATAAACCTACAAATATTAAACAAAATTTCTCCTTTTGGCTCCTACTTCCTAGGTGGATAATAATTGACTAGTTTAATGAACCCTCGACGATAATTTTACAAATCAAATTCTGTAGCCAATATAGTCTATCAATGAAACAATTTTTATTCTGAGATAAAAAACATATGTTTAAAAAGTATGATCAGGTTTAAATATCTAATAAAAATGAATAACAGTAGTTCAAAGAAATTGTTCATCTGAGAATTGACTGTACTAGGATACAAATTGATGACTTGGGCATTCAATTGGTTTGAAGCACAGAAATAAACTTTATCAATTTGTACACCCCCTAGGCAGAACAGAATACCCTCGAGTGCGTGCAATCTCTGCTGAGGTCATTCAAAACCGATTGTTTACACGCGGAAAATTAAATAATTTTGGATAAACCATCCTTATTCCCGCCAATACGACTAGCCTACGGACACGATTCGAAAGATGGGGGCTTGTAATACAGAAAAAAGGGGTACCTGACTAGCCGGTTACTATCCTTCGAGACATGATGAACGGGAAACTCGAAAAAAGATCGACATTGCACTCTTTTGCACACACAGACAGCACGCGAGCGTACACACGTTTTTAAAAAACGACTTTTTTGCGTAAAATATAAATACTTAATAACGTCACAGCGATGCTGCGATGATTACACGACAGTCGCAACGACGATGATCGATAAAATACTTTATTATTAATATTTAATAGAAGTAGCAGCTGTAGTATTTAGGTATATGATATTATGATGCGGCGTTCTACTGGGATGTTACGTTGTTGTCGATGGCAATGATTACTGAGAATACTGACTATAGAGTATACAGAGATGTGATGATTGCCGAATGGTCGAGTGGTGACTGGTAGTGGTGGGTCGTATGTTTTACGGACGTTTATTAATCCTAACCTCATTTCGGTGCGCGACGGTATTTGCGGCACGCCAGTGGTTCTTAAATCGACGAAGGCGCATGATCGATACCGGTGGCAGCGGTGACGCATGGTACCCGTGGCGACCGACGCGAGGATTTCGTTTGTTTTGAAGCGAATCGGGGGAGAGTAAATCATTTACCATACAGATGGTGTCATAAAATTTAATGATATGCAATTATGCACTATTAAATACGTTTGCACCACCTGATCAATTTTATTTCGGTTTAATAAGTTTATGATAATATTATATAAGTATTTACCCATACAATAATGTCTGCTGGCGAGGGAAAGATCCTCCGACCGCACAAGAACAGTAGCCGGCGGCAGACGTTTGAGATGCCAGGAAGCTGTAGCGAAGGTACTCGGCAGTCTACCACACACGAGACTTACCGGCCGCCTAAGACCGTCGAAGAAAAACCTCTTAACGATAAAGGTTACATTACATATTATATATATTACATTATAATAAAAGCTACCGAAATTTCATTGTGTTAATCCTACCGTTGAACCAACTTGGACTAGATCTGAGAGCTGTGTTGCAAATATTTTAATTATAATATCGCACTATTATTCAATAGTAATATCTGTATATCATAAGACATATAAGCGTTAGAGAATCATATCTTAGCAGAAGTGGTATATCGTATAATAGCAAAACATTTTTTTTTTCAAAAAGTCTGCGAACTTTTATGTTTACACCTATTCCAAAAACCTATGGTATCTAATTGATATTTTTGAAAACCATCTTTAGTTGTAAGTACCTACATAAAAATAAAAATGTTTTATATGCCTGCATATAACAGCATAACCATGTACTAATAATACCGTATTGTATTTTGTACTCCAATTTGACAATAATATTTTTATAGTAGATAACTTTTCATATTGTATTTTGTGTGTTTAATGCTTCATGGTTTACTTTTAGAATATATACTAGAATATATTGACGATTTCAATTATGATGATAGTGTTTATTAAATTTGTCACGAAATTTAGTTGTCATATTTCTAAACAGATTTAGATGCATATATTTTTTATATTTTATAAAATTGATAATGATTTATTAAAATTAAAGTAATATTAAAAAATAACGATAAATTGCAACAGTATAAATATTAATTAATTTCTTGAAACAATAATTTAATTTAATTTCATTAAAATATAATGAATAATACGTTAATATAATATATATATTATCGATACCAATAGCCTATATTACTTGTAATAAATAAAATAAACTTTTTAAAGAATAATAATTTATACTTAGGTTTATAAGTAATTATAACATTCAAATTTATTTTCCTTGGACACAAACTACAATCAGCAATCAGTACTGAACGAATTTAATACTGTTAACCCTATATATTATATTGAATTTAATAATCCCTGATTTTATGCTTTTATAGTAATATTTAAAATAGCTTTTCATTCATCATTACGTAACTTAAAATAATGAATAACACGACATGTTGGATATATCTCATATAAACCAATTATGATTATTGATTATGTCAAAATTATATATTTTTATTTCTGTTAATCAGTTTCACCTTAAACATAATTTAAAATTTTTTTTTCCTTTTTAAGTTTTAAGTAATTGTATATTCGTAAATATATAATGTATCAAAATCATAACCAATAGAAAATATAGTAATATTACAAATATTTTTTTATGAATATTAGAATATTTCAATTTTATCTCTTCAAAGTACAAACTAGATCCAATTTTGTTTGCAAAACCACTCTTAATTATGAAAATTGAAACATTTTATCGACAACTTATCATGTAGTTATGTACGAAAAAAAATTTAAAAAATACATCATAAAAAAAATATATTTTATCGCTTCGCTCAGAATCTATAAATAATTCACGTATACTTATGAAATATTAATTATGAAGTATGATCTATACTAATAAATTGTAAGCAATAAACTTCTTATTATTATTTATTTTTATTTGAAAGTTTAGAAAAGGTATGTATTGAACGTAATATAAGTATAACCGAGCCTGTTAGCCGATATCAAACAATAGTATCTATTTTCTTGGTCATCGTATTCATTACCTGGTGATATTAAATTAAGTCTATACTACTTTTATGTGTTTGAATTTACTATTAAGCCCAACTTATTATCTTAATATCTTTGAATTGAGTCCGTATAGATAAAATGTCATAACTACCTATATAGTCGGTGAGTGGTGATACACAATTAGTAAATACTTACTTTATTATTAAATTATCACGAGTGAAAAATGGAGTGTATGTTTAGGTATTTACTCATAAAATATTTAGTTCTCAAACAATTTTTAATATTATATTTTGTTATATTTCCAAAAATAATAATATAAGTTTATAAGTATAATGTGCTTGAAATTTCCAAATTATTATTTTCAATATCTATATTACGTATAATAAAATTTTCAACAAATTTTAACTCTTTCATTTTTTTTCAATTTCAGTTTCAATATAAATGGTTACGCCTTGCGTAATACGTTCACAGAACATTGAAATCATTTTTATGTTTTTATATATTTCGGGAATGGCTACAAACTACATTCTGCTAATAGTTCTCACGTGACTACACTACTAAAATAATTCATCACGCGGGAATTTAATATTTTCAAAACATTTTAAAAATATGTAGGTACAATAAAATATTTATGTTTCCCCGTAATAAAGGGATAAATCTAGGAATTTTGAACATTGTATGACAATTATTGTTTATTTACACACATATACCTACCTATAAACTTTTTTTGTTCTGTAATTATTAATAATAATAATAGTTGTTTTAAAAAACACTTTAAGTACTAACTATATATTATATATGAAATAACAATAATTTTATAAATAATTTTATGGACTAAAGGAATTGTTCGTTGGTCGTAATATCTTGTCCTTACATTTATATACCTACTCGTATTATTATTTTATAATTACGTTATACTATAGTATATAGGTAAGTATATGTTGGACAAAGTGCAGTAAAAAATTATAAAAAGTGTGAAATTATTTAAACTCAGAGCATTAACAATGAAAAACAATTTACACAGAATAATCAATTAATAATGCAATGTACATACAAAATTGATCTGACGAATTTTCTGTTTAAAGAGAGAAAAAGAAAAGAGTTTGAAGAACATTTGTGGAAAACAATGACTGAAAAAGTAATGAATGACTTGGCAATTAAAGCAAAGACATTTTATGATCACAATGGACAGTTTGAAACAACGTACAACAGTACATTTCAAATAAAAGGATTTAAACCAAAAGAAATTGGAGAACAATTGGATGAAGAAGTATGTAGGCACGAAATATGTTTTTAAGAAATTGTTAAAACCATCCAAAGTTGCTTTCTAAAAAATCTAAATCTATAGATAAATATTTTACTTAATTATTGAAAATAATAAACGTTATCAATAATTTAAATAACTTAAGTGTTTGCTTTTATATTTTTATATATCATTTATAATTTTGTTCATTTAATCGTATTACTTTATCGAGAAACTATATACCTAGTATCCTGCGAATGAGTAACAAATTAAGAATTAATTAAGTTAAAGCAATTCAATTTTTTAAGACTTTTACTATAACTAAATAATCTAAATTGTACAGTTGAATAAGAAATATTAAAATAAAATGATTGGTGTTATTCATGTTTGCAGCTATGCGCCAAATATCCATTGTACAATACAAACGGTATGTCCGTACCGGTAAACCGATACGAGTACGATAAAGCTAAGCAACCTATACACAAACCTTTAGCGCATCTGTTCAAAAAAGACAACCGGTTCACCAGTCGAATGAGCGACCCCAACGATTATCATGCTCCAGTTGGTCCTGCACATTTTGCTTATGTTTAAAAAAAACCATACTGTACATTGACATGTTTTTTGTTTGGTATATACCTAGGTGACCGGTCAAAATAATTCCGTAAAAATATCTGTGTGTCTGTACAGTATACTGACTCACTGTCGTATAAGTACAGTCGTTACGTCGATAAAGTCGTTTATCGTGGTTTGTAATCGTAGATACTCGTGAAAAATATATCAGATAGGTAATACAAATTGGTCAGTGACCAGTGTAATGACATTACTTATTTTAGTCTATGGGATTATTTTCTAAACATTATTAGTAGAAAATACTACTATTTCAGTAATTTTAGTAATTACTTTAGACATTAGTGATTAGTATTAGTAAAAATATATGATAGGTAATATATTTTTTACCTACTTTTAATAATTAATGTTATAAAAACATTAATATTAATATAAAATATAGGTACTAAATATTAAAATGTTTTAATGGAAGTTATTACCATTAAAGATATTTTGTACTGGAGATATTTTGACTTGGAACCATAATACACGGGAATATACCTTTTATCTAGGTACTATAATATTATGTTTTGCAATAAACAAACAACGAGTTAGAAAAATGAATGTAGATACCTACTCATATATGTATCGTTTACAGTAAAATGGTAATTACAGTTCTAAACCGTTTAATAAATATCATCTGGCTTAAAATTTAAATTGTTTATTGTTTTGTGATTGTCTTTTGAACGATGAAGTGTTAAGTAAAACTTCATTATTTTAATTTCTAAGAATATCTACACTATAGATAGAAAGACAAACTGGTGAGGTTTTTGTATACTATGTGAATAATGGATTACAGATGATTATGATTCCACTCAACAACCCATCAACCACAACAGATCTCCGAAATCATAGTAAATGGTTACGAAAATAAAAAATTTACCAAGACAGCCTTCTTAGATATATCTCAGGCCTTTGATGAGGTTTAACAACTTGGATTTGTCTCAAAAATAAAAACCCTAAATCTACCAATGTACCTTAATACGAATAGGGACAAATAGACGTAGCCGTTTGGACGTGGAGACAATTAGACGTCAAAAAAAAATATATACATATATATATAAAAAATTTAAAAATTAAAAAATTAAAAAAAACAACTAAAAATGAATAGTTCTTGTTTATATTTTATAGGTACCTACCTATTTATAAATTTGATTATGACATTGATATTATATTTGTTTACAATATAACTAATGCTATTGTATCATATCGAACATTATCGATTATTATTGATTAGTACTTATTACGTACTTATTGTCTATAAATTGAATTTTATCGTTTACGCAACAGGTAGGTACTTCTATAATAAAAATACCTTTAATATAAAACTTTTATCTTATTGGTTATTACAACCATTTATATCACACTTTATCAAAACACAGTGATACACGACCAAACACACGTACAATCGAGTTAGTTGTGTGCAAATTGTGTACATGTGTATCTACAAAAATGTCGTTAATTAATTCGAATCGTGATGGTGAAGTTTTTGTGAATGAAGGTTTCATGTATTTATTTGACGCTTTTAGTTGTAATGTTTAAAATGGTTTTGGAGATGTAGATATAAAATAGAATGCAAGGCATACTGGTATAACAGACTTAATTATTCTTAAGTATATAAACAATCATACTCATGACTTTGATGCTGCTAAAGTTGAAGCAAATATCGCAGTGTGCAATATTAAAAAACGTGCTAGAGAAACAATGGAACCAACATCTAGAGTGATAAATGAATGTATTCCTGGATTATCACAAGCATCCAAGGTACTTATTTGATATATTTTTTTTATTAATATAATAAATTATTGATAATTATTTTTGATCGATTCAACTACTTGAAACAAAATAATAGAAATAGGTAACTAATATGCTGTATTATTATTTAGTAGGTAACATAGAAATTTATAATTGTATCTAAAACCCAAATCAATTGCAGGGTTGTCAATAACTATCTTTGAAGCACTCTAAAAATTAAATTAAATAGCAATTAATAAATTATTAGAAATATCCTATTAAGCTAAAAACAGTCCGAGGGAAAGTGTCCGGTTACCATTTTTTTTATAACTATGTAGGTAGCATTTCAAAGTGGTCCAGCATTAAAAAGAGTTTGAAGAAAACGGAATGAAATACACGCAGCACAAGTGCACCGAATGATATGATAAAGTTAGATACCAGATTCATACAAAGTTTATTCACAGTCTGAAGGCATATCGGACAATTATTTATTAGACGATAGCAGACCTAGTGAAAAAAGAATATTAATTTTTGGAGGACCTAAGAGTTTAGAAATATTACATTTTTCAAAAGTTTGGTATTCCGATGGGACATTTAAAGTAGCAACAAAAATGTTTGCACAGGTTTACGTTATTCTTGCGGAAGCCCTAAATGGTGTTCATCCATTAATTTATGCACTGTTGTCCAATAAATAGGAAAAAACATACTTTAAATTATTTGATATGTTAAATTTACTAAAATCCGGTTTAAATCCAAAATCAGTGTCATGTGATTTTGAATTATCAGTAATTAATACCATAAAAAGAATAATACCCTGACGCTGAAATTCACGGTTGTTTAACAAAAAACTTCCATAAAAAAATGATCGAAATGATGCTGATTTTTCAATATTTATAAAAATGATCGTAGCTTTTTCATTTGTTCCAATCAAAAATCTAGATGCCGCTATACAACAATTAGATGACTTACCAGAATGCTATTACAACCGTTACTTGGCTGGTTTGAGGACAATTATGTTGGAAGAGTTATAGAAACGGAAGAGGTCATCGGACAGCGTTATTCCCACCTCACATTTGGAATTTACACTTACGAGTTTAGAATGGTCAAGATAGGACTAACAACCATGCTGAAGCAGCTAACTGACGACTAAATGTCGAAATGGGAGTTCAACATCCTAGTTTGTGGTCTTTCATCGACTGCTTGCGAAAAGTATAAGCTGGGCGAGATGTATTTCAAATAGGCTGTTTTAGCCTACTTTTCACTCTTTGAAAAAGGTAAAATTAGTATATTTTTTTTTTCGAAAAACCTTCAACAGATAATTGTAGGCCTTATGAGAAAAAAACATGACTTTTATTTAAATAAATTATTCTATATTTTTAATATGATCTAAACATACATAATATTAATAGGACCTTATTATCTATCCGCTTATTCCCAAACTTTTGATTCAAGCTCTCAAAATGAAAAAAATTGTGTCTCTTTGAATGAATGAAATGAAAATTGTTATTAGTGTATAGTACAGTAGAATCTCAGTACATACGTTCAGATCCGGCATAAACTCATATGTAGTACCATTATGTATTTATATATAAAAATACATCGATAATGACAAACCGTAGATAAAACTTAAGTAATAACAGACTAAATGCTAATAAACAAAAGAAAACTGCTCTCACTTGAAAGATTTTAAATACATAAAATGTAAATTCAATAAGTAAAATGCATTTTTGTGAATCCCTACTAATCCGCGTTTTGTTAATCCGCAGTAGGCGGGTCTGATATGTGTCGGATTACTGTATTATATTAATACTAAAGCAATATGTACAATATTAATGTTATATCGCACCTCCCTTTTATTAAATACTTGAGCCTCACAGTTTGAGAACCGCTGACCTATACTATGTTAACTAATAATAATTAATGTGATAGAACAATAATTATTTTTTATCAACATGAAATATTATAGTTGATTGACAATTTTAACCAATAAATTTTTAAATATATAGCGTACGCACCGAACGAAGTAATACCGTA